CCTGAGTCCTCCGGGTTCATGCATGCCCGTGACCCTGGGCTGCCGAGGCTGAGGGCCCGCGGAAGCATCAAGACCCCGCTGCAAGTAGCCTACGGGCTCTCTCTTGCTGAAGAAGTGAATAAACGTAAGCATAAAGAAGTAAATGTGCATGTCCCCCTGAAGCAATCTCACTCCGAAGATCGGTCTGTGCAATTCTTCTCTCTGGAAGGCTGACCTCCACCACCTGCCCCTCCAGGGTTGGGACCGAGGGGAACGTGGCGGGTATTTAGCCCTGCCTCTCCTCCCATGCAGCCCTGGCTCAGTCTCAGGTCACAGCTCTTGGGCTACTCTGCAGGGCCCCTCCGCAGCCTTTCCAACAGTGGTCTCGCGAACTCTGCCCCTGTCCCCTTAACTGACAGTCCCCAGTGTGGAAGCACACCCCCCTCTGAAACGCACCCTCAGCCACAAATAGTTTGCTGCAGCCCTCGTTTGTGGCAGGTTCACACGAAGTCCCATCTGCTAGCTATGGGCCAGTTCAGTGAGCTGCAGCTCAGCCACGCCGTCCAAGTCCTTCTAGAACATTCTTCAGTGAGTCTCTGTGCCAAGGCCTGTGCGGAGAGCCAGAGCACACGCCGTGCCTGCCACACAAGGGTACAGGAGCGGGCCTCACGGTCCCGCGTGGGCAGGGCCTGGCTGAGCAACATGGGGCTCCCCACATACGAAGGGAAAAACAAAGACCATCATCCCAACCGAACGGCGTGAGTCACGTGAGTGAGAAGGGCATGTACACACATGCGTGTGTGAGAATGCGTGAGGGAGAGGCCTGTACCCTGGGGACCGCTGGGTGCGGGTGTGTGTGCGTGTCTGGAGACTGAGAAGGGACCTTTGTAACAACTGTCTGATTGTTTACTGTACTCACATGTCACCAGACAGCTCTGGGAATGAAGACGTCATCCAGTAAACAAGACTGGTTGCAAAACCGAGTCCAGGGGGACCTCACCCGGCAGCCCGCTCCTTGGTACAACAGTGGGTCGATGTACACAGCCTGTCGCCTGCCTTCATTTTCGTGCCACTTTCTTGCCACTATGCCTTTGTGTCCCTGTAACAATTCACTTGGGATCTGTCTCTGGGCCTTTAATCCACTGAGAAGGCTCCGGGCTGCACGGGGTACCAGAACCTTGGTCCTCAAAGTGGGGCCCTGCCCCCAGCATACGGGCACACTCTCCAGCCCCACCCAAGGAAAGCCTCCGCCAGGCCTGGCAGTGGCTTTCACCTGACCTGGAACCTCGACTGGAAGCAGCCCTGTTGCGGGCTGGGCTCCCACACGCTGAGGCAACCCTGCCCGCCCAGGAAAGGAAAGGGCACCAGGAGGCTCAGAAACATGTTGGGAAAAATCTCTTTTCTGCCCAAAGCAATTAGGCAAATACGGAAACACCTTCAATCAGCCTTTGTTTTTCAAACACAGAAGCACCTGCTCCTGGCCTCCCACCGCACCCAATCCCTGTAGGCCAGCTGGGGTGAGTGGGGCAGAGGCCGGGCCTGCACAGCTGGAGCACATCTGTGAACAGAGCGAGGATGGCAGAAGGCCACCAAGAGGAAAAACCCAAAAACCAGAAGAAAGAGAGAATAAATTATAATAATGATTTTGACAGAAGATAGAAACCCATCAAGGCATCAAACCGTTAGCCACGGTTACTTCTAGAGAAAAGAACTGGGGTGGGGGCTGGGCAAGAGAATTGTCTGGTCAAGGTTTTCCCAAACATCGTGGGTACCTTTTATAGCCAGAGCACAGGGCGAGGCAGCAGAGGGCCCCAGGGTGCCGGCTCAGGCTCCTCTCCTTGCTCAGGCACGGCCCTGAGGCTCTGGCTGCCGATCCTTACGTACACGGGGACTTCGGAGAGTTCCCAGAAGGCGGAATTAAAGCACAAGTTTCTTTGCATACAAAACATGGCAGTCCGCGTATTATTTCATGAGATGCATGTTCCACGAAACTCCCTTTTCAATCTGATTGTGAGGTCCAGTTTACACGTTGTAACTCCTGAGTGCGCATCGGTATGGGGTAGGCTGTGGTCTCTGGAGGCACGTCCACATGCGCAGTGACTGGGTCCCACATTTCTCCGTCCTTTCTGCGGCGCACGTTGAAATCCGTTCTGGCTGTTCTGAAATGTGGATTCCACTGCCGTTGTCACCGACATTCTCTACCGTGCGAGACCATACCCCCCCCCATTCTACTCACCCCCTGCATTCTAGCATCTGCTAACACGGCCTCCCGCCCGCCCTCTGGTACCCACCGTTCCACTCCCTCCTTCTCTGCAGCCAAGCCTTTTCCCTCCCACCGCGGAGTGAAGACGCGGATATTTGTCTTCAGAGCCTGGCTTGTTTCACCCAGCCTTATTTCCTCCAGGGTCACCCATTTGCCCCAAATAACAGGACTGAAGATCTCCTGAACTTCCAGCGAGAACACGGTACTCTAAGACCACGGTAGAATGTGTTCTAGGAAACCTGCCATTTTTTATTGAGCAGGGTTGCTGTTGGCAGCAGTGGGGGTTCTGTGGCTTCTGACCCCTCTGGCAAGAGCAGCTTCCCAAGGCTGGGAAACAGGCCAAAGAAGTGCTTGGGCCCCGCTGCGCCCGTGGTGCTGGGGCCGGCACTGTCAGCAGACCCTCAGGAGCGTCTGCTCTGAAGCGGATGCCTCTCTGTTGCCCAGGCCCCTCCTGCACTCCGCAGGGTGGAAGACGTAGCTGTGCACCGACCGTCTCCAGCAAGGCCATGGCACTGAGTCCGGGAGAGACGTCGTTAGGCCCAGCCGTTCTCAGGATGCTGTGACAGACCGGCACAGACTGGGCAGCTAAACTACAGACACATGTCCCACGTGCTGGAGGCCGAGAAGTCCAGGATCCAGGGACCAGCAGACTCGGGTGCTGGGAAGCAGCCAGGGAGCCTCTTCTTGGCTCGCAGACACTGTCGCCGCGCTGTGTCCTCACAAGGCAGAAAGCAGGTGGGAGCTCTGTTTCTCTTCCTCATCTAACAAGGACACTAATTCTACCCGGGAGGCCCTCTCCTCCTGACCACCTCTGAGCCCACTGACCCCAAAGGCTCCGCCTCCTAATACCATCGCACTGGGGGTCAGGCCTTCAAAACAGGAATTTGGAGGGGACACGAATACTCGGGCCACTGTACCACCACACAGAAAGGGTGACTGCCCATATTATATTTATCACCTTACAGGTTATTGACTGCTTTGGCATCTATTAAACCTCTTTCATATTCATGATGGCTTCAAAGAGTCTATTTTCCAAATTTCCTTTGAACTGGCCTTACATCTTACTGGTCCTTCAATCATTATTAAATGTTCACTTTTTATAGGCATAAAGTCACATTTGTAAATCTTATAAATTATCCTGGCATCACGGCTTCATGTGTGCTTGGATAGGACAGAGAAAAACAAGCAAATATGTTTACATGATTGGGAACTGGGTTTTCCCCGAGGAAGAACGGAATTAAACATATGGGGGGTGTGGGGAAGACGATGGGGTTGTATTTGAATGGGAAGTATCTTTATTTATTTATTCATTCATTGCTGGAGGGTATGTGCACTCACCAGAGAGAGACACAGAGAGAGGGAGGGGAGAAAGCGCCCCCAGTGGGGAATGATCACACTGCAGCCCCTTCCCCTCCCTCTCTCCCCACTTTCAGGATCTGGGCCATGCATGCACACGTGCCTAGCCTATTTCTCAATACACCAGGTCTGGGAATCGAACCATGTGGTCAGCCACTAGGCCACAGAGCTGGCCCCGAGGTATCACATTTCCATCCGTTTTTCCTAACTCTGCTCACTGAAAGGCCAGGAAGCAAAAGCATCCAGCGCTGGCGAGCACGGCTAGAGCTCAGACTTTGGTCTCTAAAGACCATCCCCATGAAAAAGAATCAGCAGTTCTTGGAGAAAGGGCCAGTTCAGATGTGGGGCTGGCAAAGTCCTTGGGGAGTCTGGAATATTTTGGTATGCCATAAATCAAGAGAGTGCTCAAAAATGGACAGAAGTGTGTCAAAAGGGGAGGCATCTTATGGGTTTCCCACTGACTCGATTTGGGAGAACTTAAGCACTGAAAAATCAATGGCATTATTAGTATATAATCCACTGGTTTTTTTTAAAAGGATAAGTATTCGGTGATAACCAATAAAGAGCAGGAACAAAACGAAGGCTCTTCTTTATAGAAAAATAAATGTAGAAGGAACAAAAGAACTAGAGAACCATATGTTACAACCAGTGATAATGAAGGACTCCAGCAAAGACTGCCACTGGGAGCCATTAGCTGAAAGTTGGTGTAAAACAAGATCTCCACAATCTCCAGGTATCAGCTTACAGATGACTTATTAATTACAGAGAACAAATTTCACTTCTCTCTCTCCCTTTTTTTTCTAATTGCCAGAGAGTATGTGTGCTTGCCAGAGAGAGAGAGAGAGAGAGAAAGAGAGAGAGAGATAGAGTGCAAACCCACTAACGGGGTGTGGCCTTACTGCGATCCTTTCCCTCCATGTCTCCATCCTAGGACTGGGGGCACACGTGCACGTACTTTGATGCGTTTCAAGCCACCGAGGCCAGGATTTGAACTGTGGTCAGTTCCAAACCACTGAGTTACAGGGTGGCCCAGTTTCTACGTGGAGGTGTACGATCATCGGACTGTGGCAAGCTGGCAGTGTGTGCTCCTGGTGTGACACTGAGGAGGACGCATCATGGCCCACCCTGTACTCTGGCCACAAATCTCTAACCCGGATCTAACTCTGAAGACTCAGTCAGACAAACCCAGTCCGTGGGACAGTCTACAAAACAGACTCTGGCCACCATTAGAGCTCGAGCTGCCCGTGGCAAACCCCGTACTGCAGACAATGAAGTCTCTGGTCTCTGGGGCAAACACCAAACACAATTTCCACCCATTTCCTTCCTCCTGCTTCACACTCCTGAGCGAGCCCAGCGAGCCCAGCTGCCCAGCAGCTCGGGGGGAAGGGGGGACAGTGCTTACCTGCCTGCGAGGCTGTGATCAGGGCCGTGTTCCCCTCGTTGTCCTGCCAGTTGACGTCAACGTGGGGGCACTCTGCTAAGGCCACCACGGTGTCCACAAAGCCGTGGTAGCAGGCGACAATAAGGCCAGTCTAGAAATGAAGAGGGGAGGTGGTTAGAGGGAAACAGGTGGGGCATCGCCATTTAGTACTGGGGTCCCTGGGCACCCCCTGCCCTCCAAGGGCCTGGATGAGAGGCGACAGGACCCCGAGTCCTGAGTCACAGTTCTCAAGGACAGCTTGGAGCACACCAGCCACTGGTTCCCTCTCAAATGCTGACTGGGCACCAACTCAGAGAGCGGCCTCTGTGTGGGGAACAGGACCCCTGCCCGGGGAGCCACTTTGTAATGGAGGGGAGTGCACGGATACACGAGGGATGGGACAGGAGGCCAGCCTGGGAGGCGGTGGGAAAGGTGGGCCGCTCACTATAAACAGGTGGTTGGGCTGGGCTCCTGAGCAGGTGCCACTGGGTCAGATGTGGCAGGTGAGGGATTCAGCCAAAAGGAATGGGTGTGGGGAGACATTCAAGAGACCACAGAGCTGGAGCAAAGGCTCCAAGCCAGGACTGGGCCTGGTGCCCTGGCCACAGCCAGGTGTGTGGGGCTGGGCAGAGGAGCAAGGAGAGAATGCTGAAGGAAGAGGCACCCGAGGACAGTGGGGGCCCCAGGAAGGCTCTGGGTGTCCTACGTGAGACAGGAGCCCCTGGGTGCTGGGTGTCAGTGGCCTGCATCAGCTCCACTGCTGGGTGGAACCCCAGGAGGCCAGGGTGGAAGCAGGGAGAGCAGGTGGGGTGGGGATGGCCATGCCGACGAGGCAGGGGAGGAAGCTGAGGTGGGAGTCAGGACACCTTATGAAGGTAGATTTGCAGCTAGATGGGGATGGGGCCCAGGAGAAAGAAGAGTCAAGGTGGCCCAAAGGATGGGCAGATGGGGTACGCTTGACTGGGGGAGGAAGATGTGGGGGCAGGTGCTGGGGAAGACGGGCTGCAGACCGCGCAGGGCAGAATCGGGCGCTGCACCTCGGGCTGTCCTCAGACCACCAGATGGACAGGAGGGTGCCAGCCTGGGGGTGGGGGAAGAGGGGCACATGCCGGGTAGGCGAGCAAGCCCAGGCCTAATTCGGGAGGCCTACTGGTTAAACATTCGCCAAATCGTGAACGAACCCCAGTGTTAATATCTAAGCTCTCAACGAGTCCCTCTCAGCTGACGGAGGAGCAGAGGCAGGCGGGGCAGACGTGGCTGACGGTCCTGTGCTGCGGAGCCTAGCAGAGGGCCACACTCGGAAGTGCCCCAGGGCTGAAGGAAGCACTGCTGAGTAAGTGGTGAGTGGTAGAGGGGACAGCCGAGCCCCGTCACCCTCCATGGAGCTCCTACCAACAGCAGCCATGGCCAGCTCCCAGCCGCGGTCCCTCCCTGAGAGACTCGTCTGCCCACTTCAGTCACCCTCCATGGAGCTCCTACCAACAGCAGCAATGGTCAGCTGCCAGCCGCGGTCCCTCCGAGAGACTCATCTGCCCACTTCAAGGACGGGATCTGCAACTCACAGCACAAGGACCTGACTGAAGGCTCTTGAGGGTAGGCAGCCCAGGTCTTGTGGGTGGGAACAAATCCATTCCTTTCGTTATGCAGGTCCCTGGACTTTCCCTGTCCCCAGGCCCCAGAGGGGCCAAAAGGGACAGCCCACTGTATGTAGGGGTCCATCAGAAGCCTTTGCTGAGAAAGTGACTCCACCGTAAAACCATCAGGGCCTTGAGCCTATAGCCAATCTGGCCTGTCCATCAAAACAGTGCGGAGCCTGCTAAGTCCTCCCCGAGTTTTCCTTACAAATGAAACTGCGATCCCCCCAAAATGATGTGCTAAAGTCCTAACCCTCGTTCCTCAGACCTATTTGGAAAGAGGGTCACTGCACATACAGTTAAGAAAGATTAGGTCAGACTGGATCAGCCCCCTAATCCTTCCCTTATAAGGAGAAGCGAGAGAAATGGAGAAGGCCTTGTGGAGACAGGCAGAGACTGCAGCAAAGCATCTGAGCTCGGGAACACCACGGGTCCCAGGCAGCTCCAGAGCTGGGATGGGTAAGGAAGGATTCTCCTCATAAGTTTCCGAGATCACAGCCCTGCCCATGATACCCTGGCTGCAGACTCCGGTCTCAACTCTGAGACAATACTTTCCACTGTTTGGAGCCAATATCATTTCTCAGGCCCGAGACAGTATCAAACTGTGCTGGTAAAGACATGCATGTGCTTTGCTTTCTTCTGGAAGCAAACACTGGACACCCTGGTGTGCAGGGATGACCCCTCTTCTTAACTTCGTGTCACTTTTCATTGCAGGACAAAGTTCAACAAGGGCTGTGGTGGGTTTTTGTGGCTCCAATAGTCATCCTCCCTTCTCTAGCCCATAGGTCTTGACTACTCCATGGAAGTTCATTCCTTCTCCACCAGCTACACAGTTCCCCTGGGCATGAGCCATGCCATGCGCCAGGTCTCCAAACCAATCACCTCTCCTGTCCTCTGAGCACAGCAATTGTCTCTGGGAGAGACACGTGACCTAAACGGCCCAATGAAAGACAAGGAAGCTTGGCAGGTGCGACAGAAGAGCCGCTCTGGCTCTGGACAGTGATCTGAGAAGGATGTAGAGCCCCACAGTGTGTTCTGGAGACTGGGGAGGGCGGGAGTGTGGCTGCCCAAGAATTGGTGCTGAAGCTGAGGATGAAGCCCCCTCTGAGGAAGGGGAGTGGAAAGACAGGCCATTTCTGGGACCCCCATGGGCTTTTCAATCATCTGGACCCCTTGCCACCCTCTTTGTTTTGTTCTTGTTTGGAGTTTGGGGTTATTTCATTTGTCAGGGGTTGTTTGTTTTGTTTTTTGGTTTGTTTGTTTTTGCTATAGGGCACATGCACGCACCAGAGAGAGACACAGAGAGAGTGAGGGAGACAGAGAAAGTGAGAAATCACCCCCGGCAGAAGGTGGCGTGGGGGTGGCCACGCTGCACTCCCTGCTCCATTCTCCTCGGGATTTGGGCATGCATGCACATGCGAGTTTTTCCAAGCCACACAGTGTGCCGTGTGGGATCCAGCCATCTCCACACACCACGGCTGG